CATTTGATAATATTCATTGCAAAAAGAAATAAATTAGTAACATATTTTGCAATAAATAAGTTTTAATTTCAAGGGCATAAAACAATAGCGTTTTATTTCAACCTCGTTTTCAATTATCTTATACATGAAAAAACATTTGAGCAAATATTCAACCCTTTGACAGTAATACAGTATATTTTCAATATGATCAAATCCGCTGAACGGGTAGGCCATTCCAACAGACAATCTGCCAAACGCTGATCAGGTGGAACCCTTTTATTCGGTCGAATTAGACGAAAAAATTGGAGTGAAGGTACGAAAATTCGCACTCAGCTCAAAATTTTATTATTTAGATCTTCAAAACTGCGACCGGGTGGAGGGTAGTTGGAATTATCTAACACTATGAATTGAATATCTTCGCGAATTACTGCTGTAGCAGCTTCCAGAATTCTGGGACGTTCTTCTTTTCATTTTTGTTCGTACTGAGTATGATTCAGAATATCATGATGATGGTCCACTAAGCATGCTCCAGTTTTAATCGTACCTTCAGCATCCTGTTGTCTATAGTTATAGTTTTGCAAACATTTCTCAATTTGTTCGAAGTGAACTGACAGTCATCGCCATTTTAGATGCAAGTGAATATTCCCTCCACTGCCAGATTCGTAGTTTAATCTTGAAGACGACCGACTTCAACCCCAGTGGTCGGTTTCAAGAAGGAAATAGAGCAATCATAACGAGTCCTAGCTGTTTCCAGAATCGAATCTTCAAATGTAGGTTCACTTGTTTAATATTAGACTTTCTTATTTCATGCTCATTATTTAATTCCTGGCCGCAAATTAAGCATTGTTTTTGAAAACAAAGCAGGTTCACTTATAGTCTATACAAAGTTAATCCGAACAGCTAAATGAAAGACCAATACCCTCCACATCAAATTTATGATTAGACCTCGTAAATTATACCGCGCCGCCCATCCCATACAAAGAAACTGCAGATGTTCGTTAACTATTCAGTGTTTATGCCATTCGAATTGACTTCGTATAGACTATACATGTGCTATTGTATAACTAAACACGTATTGCAGTTTTTTAAACTGTCCAGTGGAAATCTCACAATAAACTATTACTTGAATAAATCAAACTTATTGACTGTAGCTATCTCAACTGATCTAGAATTTCTAAAACGTGTTGTTGATCTGTTGACATCTTACATTCCTGTAGAAATGAAATATTTTTTTAAATTTTTTGCATATGTTCAGATGTAAACACTCAGTAATGATATTTGTTGCTAATTTTCAATATCATCAGACGATCTGGAAAAATATGACATTTCACTTATTTAACTAAAACAATTAATAAGCATATTATTTTGAAGTATAATAGTTGTACAAGGGAATCATAGGCAAATATAATAATATTTTGCTCCCAGTGTAAAATCTTTTCCAATTAATTTCATTAAAAGCGACTACTAACTAAATAGAAGCATAATTCCTGAACTAATTATTTTTTTTTAATTCTCACCATTCTGTTGGTTTGAATTCATTATAGGTGTTGGCGATGTATAAATGTGTTATGTCATCATAATAAATTTTCCTCGAGTCACTTTTGTTTTAGGAGGGTCAGTTGTTTTTTACATGTTGTAGTAACCTATTCAGTTGGAATCAATGCCAGTTTGTGCAGTAGTGTACCTACATGCAGAAAAAACTCATTTTTTTCTTTAAATGGTATCCCTTAGAATCTTCCTCATTATGAAAATAATCAAAAAATTACAGTATCTCAGGGTGACCACACAAATAAGTAAGTGAGTTCAGTATACAATAAATGAATACCTATATAAAATAATGAAAATATTGTCCATTCACTTAAAATAGATGTTAAAATTTTATTGTTGTGGTCCCAAAGGCTAATTGCACACACACACACACACACACACACACACACACACACACCGATTTTGGACGGCCGATTTTAGGCTAATTGCACACACACCGATTGTGGACGGCCGATTTTTTCCGGTTGGAATTTGGAATTTGGACTACCGGTATAAACTCGGCCGTCCAAAATTGGTGTGTGTGCAATTAGCGAAAGGCAAACAAGCAGGATTTGGAATCGGATTAATAACTCGAATCCACTCACACGTCAAAAATATGTTTATTCTTGCTGAGCTCATTGATTTCATAGTGGCATCTAGAAAAATGTAGGTACGAAAGTTTCAAATACACATATAAATAATAACAAACACTATAAACATTTAAATTTTTCTTGAAAAGGTATACATTTTGAGAAACGATTAATGATGGTGAAAATAAAAAATTACCCTTGTAAAGGAGGAAATTTACTAAAAAATGCCAACACCCGACACTTTATCTCAATTACTAATAATTCTCATTCAATTTTTCAATTTATAGTATATTATCTCGAAAAATATTTTTCTATATCTAATACTTTTAATTATTATGAACAATTATTTATGGATAATTCAAACAATAAAAATATTCTACAAAAAGAAGGATAGAAAAAATTGTCTCATTGAATTTAATTTGGGCTACAAACATCTGATATAACAAAAGTATTGAATGAAACTTAAAAACTTGCAACACGTGTTTCACTATTCAATAGTTACTTCAGGAATGTTTACTACTGAACTGAACGCTACTTTTTATAGGGTCTTCCAATAGGAACTTCCGAACTTTGACAATTGATACCGCCATTTTGTTGAAGCTACATCTGTCAAATTAGTTTTCTTTCCCTCATTCCATTTGGAACGGAGGTGAAATATCTTGGCATTGTCTTTGATAAAAAACTCACCTGGAACGCTTACAAAGCCAGACTATCCCTATGGACAGTTTAGGTTTACGTCCCAAACAAATCCATTGGATTTATGTGACGATTGTCAGACCAATGATCACTTATAGTGCAATTGCCTGGTAGCTGAAGGCTTTACAGAAAACGGCCCAGGCGAAGCTCTCTGGCAGAGAGAGGCTTGTATGGCTATCAGTGGTGCCATCAGTACCACACCGTCAGCGGCCATGGAGATCCTTCTAGATCTACCTCCCCTCTACATTTTTCTGGAGAAAGAGGATAGATGGACTGCATATAGACTTGTGCACATTGCCAATTGCACAAATCAATTTAATGCAGAGTGCAACAGACTGTTGGTTGACACTGGAAGTCTCAGCTTTCTGGAAATGACCTCCAACTGTCAACTACGAACTGCCTTATAAAGTACTGTTTCCGAGAACAGAGAGGACTGGATCCTGCGGGAGAAGAGCAAATAGTTGTTGGTTCACAGATGAATCAAAAACACCTTCCGGTTATGATGCAGGTGTTTTCAGTCGCAAACCCAGGACAGAGATATCAACCTGCCTAGGAATCTATGTGACTGTATTTCAAGTAGAAATTTTCGCTATTGAATTGTGTGCAGAGAGATTGGAAGAATCCAACCTCATACAAAAGTCAATAAAAATATTCTCGGATAGTCAAGCGGCGTTGGAAGTTCTTGGTTCCTACCAAACAACGTCTAAATTGATAGGAAAACTTTACAGATTACTATACTGACCTGGAAGTCACCAGCCTCATTGCCTTCCAGATCATACTGGCCTGGAAGGCAATGAGGCTGCTGACTCCCTTGCGAAGGAATGTGCTGCAAGCAGCTTCATCAGACCAGAACTTGTCATTGGCATCACTTTAGGCTTTGCCAAACAAAGATTGAACACCTAGATGGTAAAAGATTTATACTGGCCTGGAAGTCACCAGCCTCATTGCCTTCCAGATCATACTGGCCTGGAAGGCAATGAGGCTGCTGACTCCCTTGCCAAGGAATGTGCTGCAAGCAGCTTCATCAGACCAGAACTTGTCATTGGCATCACTTTAGGCTTTGCCAAACAAAGATTGAACACCTAGATGGCAAAAGATTTATGGACTTCTGACAGAATCTTCCAGGAATGGCTCGCTCCAAGGCGTTTATTTACCCTTCGAAGCTTGATACCAAACAGTTATTGGTATCAATCGAAAATAATAAAACATCAGAGCACATACTTTGTGCCTACACCGCTGGGGACCGAATCAGATTTCAAGAGTTCGGCATTCACCATACAAACTAATCGGCTTCGTTAAGAAGCTGGGTTTATTTGGTCGAGTGTGAATGGCTGTGAGCCACAATAAACCTTTGCGGATTGCGGTGGAGGGTCAAATAGGCCCACTCACTTTGGACCTAACCTAACCTACCCTATCTATAATATTCCACAATATTTCAAAATATTCTGGGAATTTTTTTTGTAGAATGCTATAGAACACTCTAGAAGGCAAAACTTTCAACACAAATCTTCAACAACACGCTCTTCAGAAAAAACAGAAGCATTTTCCATAGAAAAGGAGAAGTGACATAATTGTAGAACAGAGAAGACATATAAATATGTACTTACTGCTACCTGTGTGAATCCCGTTCGGGTCGATAATTCATGAAAATAGTTGAAGTATGTTATGATGACATTGAACACATGAAAAATTGAGGGATATACTCCTTATCTGTGTACTGATACCTATTTAACTTGAATGTTAAAAAACTGAAAACATATATACACTATTCTTTTGAAAATGTCATTGTAGAACGAAACTGCAGTAACGTTAGTTACAAATACAAGTGGTCAATTCAAGGAGTGAGTTAGGTTTAGGATTTTTTTGATACTTTCGTGGAATCTCTATAATATTTCGATGAGATAGTTGAGGACAGGTTCAAATTCAAAAATTTAATATCCCAAAGTGTAGAATGTCTAAACCTAAACAACAGTAACTGGCGGAACTTTTCAAATTTACCTAGTTATCAAGTGATACAAGACAAAATCACTGGAAACTCGACTGGAATATCATAAATTTGTCTTATCAAAATAAGAAGATTGAAGATAATTCCATCTACATTCTCACTGTTATTGTCTAGTTCCATTTCAGTGTTCAAGATACCGACCTCAAGGTTAGTAACTAAATAAAAAGCCCACGTTTTTTAACAGAATTCGAAAACACGCATTTTTGTGTTTGAGTACGTGAGCAATAAAGATAAACTAATTTTTCCTTTCGTTCAGTGTTAAGTGTCTGCGATTGTTCGTATGTTTTATATCTTCGAGACATTCTGATAAGGATAACTTGTTGTTGCCAAAAGTAGTAATTTTTAAAATAAATACCACTTAGTGAATATTCTAGTGAAGTGATTCTTTATAATGGGATATATAATAATAGATGTGAGTTATATGAGTTCTGTAAACACTTAAAAAGATGAGCCTCATATTTGTTAAACTATGATGAAGAAAAGAGATATTATAGTTTGCCAAAATATTAGACCGTCATAAAAAGATTTTTTTTCGAACACATCAAGGGTCAGTATAGAAAGTTCGCCAAGTAGTCTAGTTCACGAGTTGAACTGGTGTAAAATACAGATACTGGTCAGAAAAATACGTGGCTGATTCGATCCGGAATGATCTCTAAAACCGTTTTTAGCACATAAAAAATTGACAAAGTTATGAACAAATTTAGATATAAAATAGTTATTCAGGTTTTTACGAATATTTCAAAAACTATAAAGAATTAGGAAATTAAAAAAAAGATCCCTAAAGAGGCGAGTATTTACAATAAAAAGTTCCTTCTCCTGAAACTCTAACTTATTATATTTTGATGAGCATTTTCCAAAAAGTTGCGTTCTGAACTAACAGAAGTAATTATTAGTACTGAGATGCATGGTTTGACCAGAACTGGTAATAATATTAGATGGTACCGTTCCAACCCTTTATTAGGGGTAACATTAGCCATTCGTTCCAATTAATTTACATCATTGTGAGTGTTCATTTTTTCTGAATAGCAATGTTACTAAACAAAATTGTCACTATTGGAGTGATTGAAACCCACATATTTTTCGGGAAAGACATACACAACACCCACAAAAAGTTAATGTTTGGGCTGATATTCTTGGAAATATCATTATTAGTCCATTAGTTCTGGAAGAAAACTTAACTGGTAATCTGTACTTTGAAATAGTTGAAGATACTATCAATCCTCTTATAATTCACGATCTAGAAACACAAATGGATGCAGAAGGTAACGAGAGATTTCCGGATAGATAGATTGGCAGAAGAGGAGCAGTTGAATGACCTCCGAGTTTACCGGATTCAACACCCTTAGATTTCTTTCTTTGGGGGCATCTTAAATCCTACAGGGTTGAACTGTGAGGGATACAAATAGTCCTTGAAAGTGTCCCCCTTAACAATAAAATTGAGGGTGGGAAGTTTTCAAATCGACACCCTGTAAATTAATTCCTGCTTTATTTGAAGAAGAAAAATTTTTAGAGAGCAGCTAGCTAGAGGTTGCTTCATTTTGATACGTTTCAACTAATTTTAAGTCTTTTGGCCAACCCTACTCTTCAGGAGGTATTAGAAACATTTTTATTGTTAAACTTGCAAGTAAACTCTTCTAATTTCCTTGCATTCTCTGTTGAGAGTAATGGAATGAGTTTGTTTTTGTTTCCAGAGACAGACAAAATGCTAATATGCTGCTGAGTAGTAAAACCTAGTTACTCTTCAAAAATTGAAACTGTTTGTGACAATTTTGCAGGTGAACATAATGAGCCTCTGCTTGGAAATTTACTTTATAGGCCAGTCGAATTAGAATTTGACAACGCGAAAACTTTTACTGGAAATTTTCTTTGGGGGGTTCACTGGCAGTCTAAACTCAAGTTCCCGGGGTATCAGACCTGTTGCGTCAACCGCCATTTTGAATTTGAGGGTTGATTTTTGTTTTTTGAATAACTTGTTTATTTTAAATATTTCACAAAAAATAGTTGTTTAAAGGTTGTTTATGATTAAATTTTCTACAATTTTGGTTATCATGAATTTTTCCTAGAATCGATGTTTTTCGATTTAACCATAAAAGATGGTGTGAATTATATTTTATTGGACAACTCGTTTGTTTTACGAGAAAAATTGTAATGATTAAAAGTTGTTTGAAATCAAGTTTTCTACAATTTTGGTCTCTATCAACTTTGTGTAAGGATCGATAGTTTTTGATTTATACCCGAGAAAAGGAGGGGGTAAAATCTCATCACATTTATTTTCAATTTTACGAGAAACAATTTGATAAACAAAGTTGTATAGAATCAAATTTCCTACAATTTTGGTCCTCATTATTTTTTCGTGGGATCATTATTTTTAGATTTATACCTAAGAAGATGTGTGGGTGAACCTAAGTATTCTATCATAGCTTTAATATGGACGTTTTCGTATTATTTTTTTGTTCGTTTTTTGATTGTCTTGGGGAATTTGATGAAAATTTGATGTGTTAATAATATAATTTGCAACAATTATGAGGCCGATTTTTTAAGGTTCATATTTTTGGGACGCACGCTTACGGTTATGGAAAAGAGGAGTAAATGGATGGATGTAGCCGTTACTACGTGGTAGGAAATCATTATAAAGGAATGAGAATTGAAATTTTCTATGTTTTTTACCAATTTTATTTGCAACTAACGGTACTGCAGTTTCGCCTATAAGAACATTTTCAAACTTATACATTAAACTAAAAATGATTAGCCCTTATATAACACCACTATAGATAATAATAGAATTACTAAGCCTAATTGAGTATCTGAATATTGTTTACTTGTGACAATGTGGATTTGCTAATTTGAAAACCTTTGAGTGAACTAGATCGATTTGATCATTTAACAGGTTGCACCCGCAATGTTCATCGAATCATTTTTACCTAGCCTGAAGGACCTTTCATGTGCAGGATACCGTTTTGAGAAATTTCTACCACATTGTCCCCCATAAACACTTTTACATTCCGGACAGTTAAGTTTATAAACTCCAGATTTCTACAACTTGTCCACTTTATCTTTGGCATTGAAAAGGAAATCGGATAATCTGGCATATGTTTGAATTCCACTTACATATTGTTTTTTTTTTTTAAGAAACCCGCAATTATCGGTGTTCTTTCACCAAAATATGTTATTTCTTGATTTCTGATTGTTTGATCTGGGGGTATATTAATCTGTTAGTGAATTTACGGCTTTGTTTTCTGACTAACTTCTGGATTGTATCTGCGTTGAAAAGAGGGGTGTCTGGTACCCCGGAAACCCCCTGCCAGTGACCTCCTACCCAAAAAATTTCGAAATGAAATTGCGAGTAAAATGTTTGCGTTGCTGGCTAATTCGACTGGGCTATAATTTATCTCGGATACATACGAGTACCTGTATCAGTAGTAGTATCAATTTATTATTTACCCTCTTGTTCTTTGAAGCTTATGCTATGAGACGTTTGTATCGTTCGTTCATTTAAGCTTTTGTGAGATGTGTACAATAAGTGGTTCGTGAGAACACAAATAATAATTTAATTGAAAAGTACTTCCTCAGGTCGTTCTTCATTCATGAATGTTTCGTCTGCTGCAATGTATATCTTATAAATAATTAATGAAATTTGGTAGTAAAATTATTTCTCATGTTATTATAATAACTTTTATTACAAAAGGCGGATGTAGTATCACACATCCAGTGAATGCATTAATGAAGAAGAGGTGATTTGTAGTAATAATAGTATACTTCAATAATATGGTTCATTACGAAAAACTTGCTTTGCTGTTATATTTTGAGACTCTCATTCTTCAATTGAATACTCGAATGGAGTATAAATTAGTATGATGTCTCTCAGACGATTCAGTTCCGACATTATTTTTTCAAAAAATTAGTTTTTATGATAACTTTTAGATTTTGTAATTCTTCGAAACTATGATGATATCCAAATAAATATAGTTTAAAAAACTAAAAAATACGTTTTTAAAGAACATCGAACTAAAAAGTTGAAAATATTATTTTTAATAAGCTTTAAACAATAACGAACGAAAAATACTAGTATTATTGTGAAAAAAGCGACGAGCGCTTGATATACAAAAAATATAGCACACAAAGCGCCCACGCTTTTTTCACAATAATACTAGTATTTTTCGTTCGTTATTGATTTAAGCTTATTTAAAAAAAATATTTTCAACTCTTTAGTTCGATGTTCTTTGAAAGCGTGTTTTTAAACTATATTTATTTTTCATTTTTTAGTTTCGTATGCTCTAAAAGCGTGTTTTTAGTCTTTTCAAACTATATGTATTTTATCTAAACTTTGGGATCAATCAGCCGTATATTGTTTAGAAAAATGACCATTGATATTTTATAATTCCGGAGAGAGAGCCTGAAAATCAGCTACCAAGCCCAAGGCAGCAGGCGCGCGTGTACAGCGCCATCTGCCCGCGAATAGATCAAGATTCCGTGTTAGGAATCACACGTTAAAAGGTAAGACCTCGTTAGTCCTTAGCTCGAACAAGTTTCTCAACTTCTGAGAGTTGTCGTTCGTATGGGGGCGACAGCTGATTAACGGAAAAACATATTTTAAACAGAAACAGACAGACAGAATAATGTCGATATATCAAGGAGGTTACGTACAGCGCCATCTGCCCGCGAATAGATCAAGCAATAATGTCGATAATTCTGTCAAATACAGATCCGAAACTTAAGTGTTACAAACAAACTTACATACAGGTGGAACTAATATAAAGCGTGTAAAAATCTACTTCTACTAGAAAGACTATCATACAATAATATTCAAGTCGTTTTTGAAACTTCAGAATATTTTTTCATTCTTTACTTTCAACATTTTTTTCGGTACCTTAAATTTTGGGGAAAAAATGTCTATATAAAACTTTTTTCATTTTCAATTCTATTAGTTTTGAGCTTATTTCAAGTGAATATCTCGTCTTATGTGAAATGCATTCATAATAAAAAATTAATACGACGGACACGACAACTAGAGCTCTAACTTAATATATTGTTGTAGATCATCCCCTAAAAAAAAGTAACACCGACCGCCGCTGGTCGTCGAAAATCAACTGTGACGTAGCCAAGATCGCACTTAGCTCGACTTGCGCTTCGTGACCGTTCTAGGTGTCGCGTCGTTTCGAGAAACTTCTACCGGCTTCGATAGATTTCTGGCATATTCTCTATTGGCTTGGCAGACGAGGACCCGTTGATGAGCTAGCAAGATAGCCCAGATTTAACCCTGTTGGACTAACTATAGTTCACAGTTCACCAGACCTTAAACGAAGACAGTTTTAGCAACCTGCGTAACATCTGAATATAAATTGAAAGAACTCGTGCACATGTTTCTGGCTGCCCCTGATATGAATCACACGTTAAGGGGAAAGGCATCGTTGATTTTTAGCTCGCAAAAGAACTAGTAACTTCTAACGTGTCTTCGTTATTATTAAGTGCCTCTGTAACAAGAAAAATTGAATATTTGAGAGATCTTTTGGATAATTATGGGCTATTTGGTGAAATAGTCTAATCTGTTCATGAACAGATTGAAAATAGAAAACTGACACATAAATGATTTATCAATCATATTCGTTATTTTCTTTATCAATCCTCAGCTTTTCAGAAAAATGAAGGCTCAAAGTTCATAGTTATCTCATATGAACAAAAATACATCAACGGATTAGTTCGAATTTTCTAAAAATTAAACATGAAAGTAGCTTTCAAAACTGTTCACTTCAACAACAAAAAGTATATTGCTCAAACAAAGCGGATTAACATATTGATAAGTAATTAACATGTTAACAAACTAACACAATAACTAATCATGCATTGATTCTCATTATACCATATGAATATACAAGGCCCTAACTTATTTGTAAAATTTAGTTTTAGTCAGATGATGATAACTTGGTTCGAAAAACACACGTCGAGAGACGGTGAGAAAAACATGTTTTCATTAGATGCAGGTTCAGTATTCAAAAGTGAGTATAATTGTGATTTTCTTCTGTTTTTCAGATGTTCAAAGAAATACTTCAGTCATTGAGCACCGTAAACTACGTCCTTGTCCTCGTTTTCTTCCTCATCGTTGGTTACCGACCTCCCTGGTGGAGCAGAAAAATATGCAATTTTCTACCCAAAACAGTGAGCGATATACCCGGACCACTTTCCCTTCCGTTTTTCGGAACAAGTTGGCTATTTCTGTCAAGAATATATACTTACGATAAATTTCACGAGTTTGCTGAGGACATATACGCGAGATACGGCCCCATAGTTAAAGAAGAGGCGCTTTTTAACGTCCCAGTGATCCATATTTTCGAAAAGAGCGATATCGAGAAAGTGTTGAAAAGCAATACCAAATATCCAATAAGACCGCCTACAGAAGCTGTCGCTGTGTACCGCAAAACCAGGCCTGATAGATATGCTAGCGTTGGATTAGTGAATGAGCAAGGTAATCCTTAGGTTAGGTTATGTTAGGTTAGGTTAGGTTAGGAGAGGAAATAATCGCAATAGAAATATTCAAACTTGATTTTTTTGAGGAAATGTACTAAATTACACAGACTACTTATTTTAAACTAACCTTATATATCACGAAGATTCTTACCGTACTTCTTTACCTATGTCTATTGTAATTGAGAACTTTATGCAGGCGTCGAAATGACAAATTTTTAGTTCAAAGAATATTTCACAAAAAAAATGTTATATTTATCAGTAACTTGTATTTAACAATTTTGCCAAAGACCCCAATCTAAGAGACATAAGCTCGAAGAATCAGCGTATATTCTTACATTTGTAAAAGGTGTATTTCGAACGGCTCTTCGGAAATGGATCTTACTTTGCTCTCCGTCTTGGAAAGAGAAACTTGGGAAAAATCTTAATTTTTTGGGTAATTTGCGTGAATTATGTGAGAAATATGTAAATTCCCTGATTTATGTGTGTTTACAATGTATGAGAAGAATTCGAGATGAATATCACCAAATTAAAGTGAATTTGAGCAAAATTGCAGCAGACTTATATCAGCGACTAATACCACATCGAATGTTTCAGAAGTCAATCAACAACATTACCATATTTCTCATTCCTTAACCCCTTTTCTATTCAACTAACTTGTATGAAAATACATATTTGAATATAAATATCAAATATATTGGTACAGGAGCCCAAAAAACATCCTCTCAGTTATCTCAAAGCTGAAATTTCGTTTCATCGTTTTTATAGAAGAGCACGTATGTATTTGTGCCACATGCAGTATAGGGGTGTCTGCAGTATGCTGTATTATGCCCGTTGTAAGTAATCCCACTGTGATTTAAAAGTGCATATAGATTATAACAACAAGTAGCCACATTGTCTGCTGCAAAATTAGGCATATAGTTCTAAAGGAAATTCTATGATATTTAATTTGGCTCCAGAATGTATTGGAGAGAATCTTTCAAAATGAATTATTGAAATACGGTAAAAATTATGGATTGTTGAGAACTTCCTGCATTTTCTCCCTTCCTTGCACGTCGGTTTTTCATCCCCATCTAAAGTTTTTTCTCTTGTGAAGGAAGCATTGCGACAAACTCAATTCGACAGTTCTCTTTGGTTAGGAGAGACGAATTCCAGAAAAGATCGAATGTTACTGATGAGTGTCCTCAGTGTGTGCACTTTATTGTGGATATTAATTGACCAACGAAATTATCTACAAGCTTAGAATCATACATCCTCAAATATCTGAGCCATGACTCTTGTGCTTTTCCGCTGTCGCTCAATTTTTCGTCAATCTCCGGTTAAGTCGGTTTACGCTTCTCATTAATTCTATTAACGTCCTCGTATAAACGTTCCAAGACGACCAGGAATCCCTGGGCGTCTTGATGGGTATGACCCATGAATCCAGAGACAAAACTTTGAATCTGACTTTTCAAGGAGACTGTGTTCACTACTCTATTTAATGAATCTTCTGACCACAATTCCTTGATAAGAAATACTAGTATCGATATCTTTCATGCATTCATCCTTCTTTCAAATATTGCAATAACCATCTCGGTTTTGATAAACATTGGATTACACTGTTCATGAAATGGGTGTGACAAATATTATTCAACCCATTAAGCCTAAGAGTTTCTACTGAAGAATTTATTACTGGACAATTCCAAAAACATTTGGAAACCATTTCAGAATTTTGTTGAGATACAGTGATATTTTCATTTGCTTTTGTTCCAATTCCAAAAAGTGGTTTGATATGACATTTTTTTTTCTTTTCATTAGTTCGGACTTCCATTGTTGACATGACATGAAATGATTTGGAGTCCCTGAAAGAATCAATAAAATAAAAGATTAACTGAAAAATATCAATCATATTCAGCAAGAAAACTGAAATTACAATGAAATAAAATGTAAGCAACAATTGAAAATCAAACAATTATCAAGAAATGAAAATAAAAATTGAGATTTGAAGCCAACTTACTTCTCGACGTTTCGATTATTAGTATCCACAATCGTCTTCAGGTGATGACTGGACTCATTCCTACGAGAGATGACTTTTTAAAAGTCAGTCGAGTGCTTTCATCTATCCCCTTTCTCTCTCTCCGCTTCACCGGTTCAGCGGGAGCTGACTGTTTGGCGGGTTTTGACCATTTTCGGCTTGATTATGGGTTTCCATATATTGCGTATCTCTACACTATCTTAGCTGAATGGGTCGTTGGACAGACAACATATATGCGGCTTCTTGTGGATGATTTCCGCTTGAGACCACTTGATGTTATGTTGATGAGTCCAAACATGCTCTGCTATTCCCTATTTGCTGGTTTCTCCTCGCTGTGTGTGTTTCTTGTGCTTGGCAATACGAACTTTCAATGGCCTCTTAGTTTCACCGATGTAGGATTCTCCGCACTCGCAGGGTATCCGATCGATGCAATTCTTGAAATTGCTTTCCGCGTTTGGTGGGCTGGTTTTCATGAGGCTGTTACAGATAGTGTTTCCGGATCTGAAGTAGGTTCTGATGTTGTACTTGAACCCAATTCTTCTTATCCTTTTCGATAATCCTCCTATATAGGGAAGTGCAAGTACTGGTTGTGACGGCTTCTCTTCCTTGCGAGGCTCGTGCTGTTTTTTAGCCAAAGTATTTTCCATCACTTTGGAGTATCCATTCCATTGAAGATCATTTTGATGATGCCTAGTTCCTTCTCGAGATCTTCCTTCGTAGTACAGAGCCCGAAAGCAGGGTCTACTAGAATATGTTGGCTCATCTCATCTTGCGTAAAGAATTTGTCATTCAGTTGGAAATAGCAGTAAGTTTGTTCTATCTTCCAGGTCTTCGGATAGCTTCCTCTGTATGATATGAGGTGCTTCTTCGACAGAAACATAGGTGTAGAGGTTTTCCACGTCAAAACTGATTTAAGTTCGACAAAATTACTTGAATTCTTCACAAAAGATGAATATATAGAGTTAGTTTCCAGGAAACATGTAAATTTCATCAAGTTTTTTAGAAAAAGGAAGAGTACATTTTACAAATGTCGTGAAGTGATTTGATTTCATTTTCACTACCATTTCTCTTAATTTCAATGATTTTTATTGTTTGTATATCATTAACATTTTAAAATCAAATAGTAACTCGTCTTTTCTAAATATATGAAATATGTTGATTTTTCAATGAATATTGAGTATTTATATATCAACATCAAATTTATTGAGTCAAATATTGAATGAGTTACAGTTTGAATCTTCTCTGAATATATTTATTAGATATCAAATATGAAGAAAAGGGGATTGAAATTTTCTATGTTTTGTACTACTTTTATATCAAATATCTTCCAAATGAATATCTTTTATATTTTCAGAACAATTAAAATAAGTCTTCGAAAGATCCACAAGATGATTCCAAAGTCATATTTGAAGGATTGAAATTGATGAATGTTCAAAATGAATTCTTGAATATTCGCTTGCTAGTTGAACACGTAAAAACACCGAAAACTGAATATATGGTGTAGTATTATTGTCTAGAATTCCCGGTTGCTTTTTTTTACCCTCTTTGCGGATGACACCACTGTACTGTGGCACAGTAAAACACCACATCAACTGTTTAATAAAATAGAAAAGGATATGTGCAAAATAAAACAATGGTGTGACTCAAACTTTCTAGCTCTGAACTTAAATAAAACTAGCATAGTCACTTTCCGCTGCAGTGTTCCTGATATACCAATGTCAAATGAACTAATAACTAATAAATCACAAACGAAATTTCTTGGGTTCGAAATTGACAATAAATTGAAATTTGAATGTCACATAAAATCTTTGTGTAAAAAACTCGCATCAGGTTGTTACGCAGTTCGTATAATCTCCAATGACTTGGGTAGTTCCACGGCCAGAACTGCTTATTTCGCTCTGATTGAATCCCACATGAGATATGGAATCGCCTTCTGGGGTGTTTGTAATACCTACTTATTTGATAGTGTGTTTATTCTGCAAAAAAGAGCATTGAGGTATATATATAAAGTGGATCGAAGATACTCGTGTAGAGAATTATTTAAGCATCATAAAATATTAACAGTAACATCACTTTATATACTTGAGACGGTGAGCCTCATACACAAGAATAGACATACCTTACATAGATCCCTGAATCATCGTGAATCGAGGCAAAGCTCTCTCTTCAGACTACCTATCCCCTCCAGCAATTTAATAAAGGATTCAATCATCTATAATGGGATTAAAATCTACAACCATCTTCCGACAGTTATAAAGGACAGCGCATGCATTAACCGTTTCAGAAAATCGTCCAAAAAACTACTGCTTGAAATGTCACCTTATACCCTTAATGAATATTTTTCCTCCACTTTTGACTAATTATCTTAATAACTGTATGTTTACTACGTGGGCTGCTCATAAAACATCTCAGCATGTATCCATATAGGAATATAAAAATCATTTGTATAGTTGTAAAACATGTATAAATCTTAATTTATGTATATTAGTATTAGGATTCAGATATTGAGATTTTTTACATAGATGTAATCTAATTGTTTGACCATATCGCATTGTATAGCTTTGTCTACGAGAATTATGTTCTTCTGACAATAAAGCATATCTTGATTGATTGATTGATTGATTTTTCAAACAAGACTCTAATGTGTGTTATATGTGTGTTATATTTGAACCTTACTGTACAACAACAAATTTTACAGGAATAAAATGGCACGAGTTACGGACTTCTCTGACAAAAAAACTAACAAGCCCAAAAACAGTTGCGGGATTCTTGCCGCAGGTTCAAGAAATTGTCGAAGACTGGTGCAATCTAATCAGCCAACAACGAACCGATAACACAATTACTAACCTGGAGGATATTGTTGGACCATTAGGTCTGGAAATATCATGTGCATTGGTATTGGGGCGAAGAATGGGCTTTTTGCTACCGGGGGCAGAATCCGAGACTGCTCAGAAATTGGCTGAAACTATTCATCAACTCTTTATAGCAACAAGGTAGATATTCTCAGGTCAAACCTACTAATAAAATGATATAAACGAAATGCAATTTGGAATCCTTTCAATTTTCATAACATGTAAGTATTAAACTAAAATATTTTTTGTGGAAGAAATCAAAGTTGATGAAAATGATCGCCAATGAATGACATACGCTAAGATATGTAAACACAAAGAAACGGCATACATTTTTATAAATAGAGATTGTGTTTCAACCCCGACCCGTTACTTGATGAAAATTAATAACACTATCCATGATAATAGTTATATAATTTTCACAAAATGTTTTATTTGGAACGCCTTCGCTACACGGTAGTTTCATCAGTTACTGATACATCACACTGTCATTGATGTACCTGATGTACTGATTTTGATGTAGCAGTAACAGATGAAGTTGCTGTAGTTTCGGAGCCTATTCGGAGTGTAGAATATTGATTAATATAATATTATTGTAAATAAGCATTAAAAAGAATTTAGGTTTACGGACTTTTATGGGCCTAGTAGTCCCAGTTGACGAATGTGGAATAAATTATTACCTGCAAAAAGGTCAAAAAGGTACAGGTGACGAAACAAGAAATTTTGGGGCAGGTAACGATTCACGAATTGACGAAACAAGAACAAATCTTAATATCACTGGGTTATTAAGTGGGAGTATGAATGTTGTGGAATTGGCCGCAGTGGTAGTGCGTCCGACTCACGATCGGAATGTCGTGTGTTCGATTCCCGCTTCGACCAGATATTTTTCTCAAGAGAATTTATCTGGTTGAAGCTGAAATGATTCTGCAACCGTGTTAGGAATCACACGTTAAAAGGTAAGACCTCGTTAGTCCTTAGCTCGCACAAGTTTGTGAGAGTTGTCGTTCATATGGTGGTGGCAGCTGATTAACGGAAAAATAGATTTTGAATAGATTTCCAAAGACATGGGAAACTCATTACAAAGTATTCTGGTTTAACTTGCCTATTGACTAAATTATCGGAATAGGGTGCTCGGCCTCTAGTGCTAGTCTCGCAGAATCTGAGGTCGTTTCTTTTCAGTACGTCGTGGGGGTCGCGCAACGCTAGGTTGATAAAAAACAGTTCCACTTGGAGATCTACATTACTTATGTGTCTAATGGTGTGATAGAGATTGTGTTGAGTATCCTTTTCCAGCCCCAGTCTCTGTGTGATATGGGAACTGAATGTTAGTTTCCTTTTCCAGGATGATATCCAGGTATCTTGCTTCGTTCGTCCAAATAATCTCATGTCTGTTGAAAATAATGTGTTATTCCTGTTGCGGGTGAGTAGTTATCGCCTGATTCTTGTCGGGTTTGATGCTAATTCTCCAAAGAATAACTTGCTTGGTGTAACTAGCTCGTGGTTGATGGATCTGGCCAGCAGAGATGTGTCGTCCACGTGGAGAGCCAATTTATTGAAGTTTTTCTCTGACTTCAGCATGTCTGCCATATACACCAAAAAGAGGTGAGAAATAACTGCGCCTTGAGGGGACTCTGCTTCCAGAAGTTGTCGGGCGAGGAGTTCTTGTCCTACTCTGCATTGGCATCGTCGGTCAGCCAGAAAAGAGTTGATGTATCTTAACATTGTCTTCGTGTAGCTGTAATTGTCATTTTGAAGTCCGTAATGCCAGATTGTGTCGAACGCCTTGGAGATGCCGATAAATATCAATCCGGTATGGATGTTTTGCCCAGGGTGAAACATTCAATCCCATAGTCAATCAATTTCAAGACACAAAGGTCCGTCGAGTGTTCCGGCCTGAATTCAAACAGCTCGTTCATTAGAATGTTCAGTTTTTTCTGATCCTCGGGGGTATCGCATTCTGCTGCCGTTTTCATCGATGGGGTCATACTTATTGGGCGATCGTTGTATTCGAACGTGAATTTTTCGGGTTTAGGGATCCTAATGACCGGTGACCTCTCAAAAGGATACGGAAAGTGTTGCAATTAAAGTATGGCGTTGATGACGTTTGTCATTGTCGTTATTCCCGTCAGTTTTTCAGTACCCGATTTGGGTTTTGTCCGGGTCCACGGCTGGGTAGCGAGACCTCAGACGATGTCTCTGCCTTCTTCGGGAATTATAGAGTTCATGAAGTGATCGTTGTCCTTCCACTGTCATCTCATTCTATATACCGTCTGTTCGACCTATTTCTGCATTTTTTTCACCTCTTCGGTAATGTAGACATCATTATATCTACATTGTCGAAAGTGTCAGCAAATGATTCGGCTTTCTCCTGATCGATACCTACTCTCCGTGTATTAGAGGACATAGTTTTCGGCAGACCTTCTTCTACATATTCTATGCAAATTGATCTTCAGTATTGAATTCTGACAGACGGGTTGTCCATTGTCGGTTTCGGACAATGTAGTTCTTGATGCAGATGTCTGTTTGCTCTGTGCATACACCTCTTGGTGGTACAAAACCTGTACATGTCGTCTTCTGATTCTGGTATTATGTGAGTCTGTAGATTGAAGCATCAGGCTGAGAATTCCCGTTCGCTTCGTTCCATGGATTGCTAGATCGCTTGTTGTAGTGTCGTAGCGTCTTCCAGGTCAGTATTCGTTGTGATCCGGGAGATGTTCTTATCGCATCGTAGACGATGCGCTGGAATTTAATCAAGTGATGATCCTCTACTTTGGTTGGTCTATTTTCGCTATGTACCATACCAGTCCAACTGATGAATCTATGTAGGGAAACGCATCTTAAATGAAATTTATTGTGAACATATATAATTATTATCATAGATGAAGTGTATGTCTTGAAATCTTATTGTTAAATCGATAATGTCAAATGAATGCAGCTTAATTTGCTTAAATTTGACAGAATCCCGCGTTTTTAAGAAATCCTGTTATTGAAACTAGGTACAGTCAATATCACTTTTGAAAGGACAATTTTCCTTCCCAGTTTTCTCTTAACAACATAAATTTCAATTTCAACTTATTCAATTGAACAAGGAAATGTTCTCAGTAGCTCAAAAACTGTTTGTATTAGTTTCAAATTTGAGTTAGAGCTACTATACAGCGAATTCATATTAAATTTGTCGTTTACAACATTGCTTAACTCATTCTTCAGTAAATATTATCAACTATTTTATTTCATCCTATACATTATTATTTCAAAAGTTGGCTCAGTCGTCCACACTCAATGTGTACATTATCAGTTTAGTGATATTTTAGTTATTGATGATTATCTAGTATCTCATTCTTCAGTAAATATTATCAACTATTTTATTTCATCCTATACATTATTATTTCAAAAGTTGGCTCAGTCGTCCACACTCAATGTGTACATTATCAGTTTAGTGATATTTTAGTAATTGATGATTATCTAGTGATTATTTTGTGTACGAGGCTAATGTTGAGAAAATTAAATAGACAATCAGGGTCAGGGATTCGATGAAAAGATTGAATCATCACACTTGACAATTTGACATGATTACAATTTTGATAACTGATATTTCACTGAAGATGTTCAGCATACGCATAGATTTTGCCGATCATCCGATAAATCATCTTTCTATCTATTGCTTAACACTGCTATCATCATTATGAACATGTAATGTTAGTTCTTCCGTTCATATAATGCACATCCTCTGTAAGAATCCCACCGATACGCCATATCACTTTCATTATTTTAAGGGACACTTATTACGGGCTGCCTTTTTGGAAAATTTTCGAGACTCCCGCCTACAAGAAACTAGCAGAGAGCGAAGACACAATTTATCAATTGGTCACAAATTTAATTTCTACAGCAGATCAAGCAGCAAATAGGAGCCCAGTGTTCCAATCTGTCTTAGATGCCAATATTAACCAAAAAGAAAAGACTGCTGCAATTGTGGATTTTATAGCTGCAGGTAACTCCATCACTCTTTTAATTCATGAAAAACATGCTAAATTGCATTAGTATGAAAAATCGATTTTTTATTAATGTAACACCCGGAATAGTAGATCAGATTTCAGTTGTGAATTCCATTTGGCTCAAATACATTTCAACGTGGCTCCTCTGTAAAATAAGAAGTACGTTTTGAATATTGATTTATTTATATGATAAAATCGGCCGATACTTGAACATCCATAACGTACCTATGCAAAAAGCACTTTATTGTGAGATTTTCACTAAATAGTTTTATAAAAACACAACACGTGTTTCGCTAAACAATATCTTCTTGAGGCGTGCCTATACTAACAGTTAGTTAATATTCAAGAACATTTCATTGTGAGATTTTCACTACACAGTTTTACAAAAACCCAAAACATGTTTCGCTATACAAAAGCTTCTTCGGGCTTGTTTACACTATCTGTTGGTTAGTATTCAAGAAACACTTTATTGTGAGATTTTCACTAAACAGTTTTACAAAAACGCAACACGTGTTCCGCTATACAATAGCTTCTTCCGCCGTGTTGGCACTAACTGTTGGTTAGTATTCAGAAAACACTTCATTGTAAGATTTTCACAACATAGTTTTACAAAAACGCAACACGTGTTTTGCTATTCATTAGCTTCTTCGGGCGTGTTTACTTTAACTATTGGTTAGTATTCATGGAACACTTTATTTTCACTTTCCCAGTTTTACAAAAACGCAACACGTGTTTCGCTATACAATAGCTTCGTCGGGCGTGTTTACACTAACTGTTGGTTGATATTCAAGAAACACATTATTGTAAGATTTTCACTACACAGTTTTATAAAAACGCAACACGTGTTTCGCTATACAATAGCTTCTTTGGGCGTGTTTACACTAAATGTTGGTTAGTATTCAAAAACGCAATACGTGTTTCGCTATACAATAGTTTCTTCCGGCGTGTTTGCACTAGCTGTTAGTATTCAAAAAACACTTTATTGTGAGATTTTCACAACACAGTTTTACAAAAACGCAACACTATTCAATAGCTTCTTCGGGCGTGTCTACACTAACTGTTGGTTAGTATTCAAGGAACGCTTTATTTTCAGAATTAAACGCGGAAGTGATGAAGCCGTGAGAAATTAGCGGATTTCATGTAAAGCAAGTGTGCCTGAAAGCAAAGAGATGCCGCAGACAGGTTTGGCTTGGAGTACAGCCGCCGAGCTAAGGAAAATCACTAGAAGGAGTCCTATATAGATATTGCAGACTGTCATCCTTAACACTTATTGATATTTATTATTTTCGAGAGGAGAGCATTTTTTCAGATTTGAGTTTGTCGGACTACTATCTCGGGTGTTGCGTGCATTATACAAAGGGTTAATTGATTTCCTTCTTGTTCTTTTGTAATGGCAAGGTGAGTCGGTTTGTATTCTCCCTCAAGTCTAAAAAGAAGTAGTCACACTATTTTACTTTCTGAAGTAAAACTTCTTTACGCGCGTTGGACTTTGGGAGTAAACTGGTGATTGCGTGACGAGAGCGTTACGAAAAGTGTGATCGGGCGTGGCGAACGGAAGTTGAAAGGAAGGTATAAGTTAGTGAAGATGAAGATAGAAAGATAGAGAGTTACGTTTCGTATATTACTATAGTGGCAAGAGAGATAGAGAGGTGCGACCACACATTTACGGTCGAATAGCCTCTAAAGAATTTGGACAAACTAATATAGATTTCGCGTCCGAAAATGGACAACTCTTGGTTAACTTTCTACAAGATCAGTTAGAACTAAAAATGAATAATAACCAAAATGAGCCTACCATAAGACGTGGAACAACAATCGGTGCAGTTTTCTTTAGATATCTTTCTAATTATCAAACGAAAACATATTATTATGTATCTCATTTCTCTTACCATAATCCTATTGTTTCGGTCTTACAATCGACCTCCCTAGGGGTTAAAGCTACCCCTATGAAAATTTTAAATGGAAAAGAGTAGCGTATGATACCTCCTTTGAAAGGATTTTCAATTATCTTTTCAGCAATATGGTATTTTTTTATAATTGGACGTTGGTAACAAAAAAATAATTATTATTCAACTTGTACAGGTTAATAACGATACCATGGAACCAAATAAAGTTTAACGCTCTCAACAATATTTGAAATAATAACAGTCTAAAGCATATGCCCAAAATGGGAACCGTTCATCTCCTGATAACAAAATACAATACAAATAACTGTAGAGGTCTAGCGGACTAACTGAATTTCAGAAACGTCTCATCTTTTTGTGACATTCAAATGTCACAAAAACATCCGATGCTACTTTTTTAAAAACAAAATAACTAATAGACTAGTCAATTGTGACAGGTATTTGTCCCGAGGGAGATCTGTTTGTATTGAATAATTGTTTTTTCTTGAGTGTCATTTGAGTTTCAGTTGGGTTCATAAACATAGAAAGTGAATTTATTCTTTACTTTAGGACCGATATACATACATATGAAGTTAAAGAAGTTTTATTTCAGTCGTGTGGTCTAAAGCACACAGCTGATAGCTATAAATACACTTTTACTTTTATTATAGTTTTCGTTATTCATTGATCCAATTTCTAATGAAGCGCCAAGTTAGATACAGGGTATTTTTATTTTTCTCAAGTCTTAGTTTTCGAGTGATTTTATTCGAAATGTTTTTTTTTCAAATACTTAATTAATACATGTTGCGTTTTTTAAATTTCCATCGTTTTATTCATGCTGATGAGACCTGATTTTTCAAAGGAGTATTCATTATTTTTATTGCAATATTGAATATTCATATAGCAGGTTTAATCAATTATTCTTCTACGAAGTGAAAAAAATTAAATAAAAAGAAAATTGAGAGCCAAATTGAAAAAAAATACCAAGCACAATCTTGGGAAGAGTAAACTGAGTGTTGATCTTCAAGACTCTTCCTACATAGAGCCGTTTCTGGCTCTGAGGACTGGTAAAAAAAAATGCCAGTAGGTAAAGAAGAGAATTCGAGTCTTACATATTGTTTTTCTCATTTTGGTGAGAACGAGTGGAGCAAATTTTGTTTCATAATATTATAATTTCTTGTCAGAGCACGATAATCCTTACATACATACACTGTAAAGTCCATGTGCTGTTCAAAGTAAGTGTATTATTTGTTATTTTCACTTTCTAACGCACACTTCTAGGGTCGCGGGTCGCATTATGTCGATGGATATAGGCTGAGACTACATACGCTGGACATGCCACAAGCAAACACATTAGGGTTTTAGCTGACTCGCAGTAGGCCCTTTCCGGGATTATGATAGGCTGAGTTTTTGAGGACACTATCTTGGCAGTCCTAAGTGGATTCCTTAATTTTCGTCCTCAGTCCTCTCGGCATGAGAGAAGCAAATATCAATACGAGGTCTTCAGTATTCTTGTGTAGGAGCAAAGTGATTTCTGCGGTTTTAATGTGGCCTATCAAATGCTCAAGTTCTTGTTACCTTATGTAGAGAATCATAATCAGAACTCTTGATGACATCTCAGGACCTATTCAGTACCATTCTCTTGTATATAAACTCCAAACTCAAAGTCTCCGTCCCCATATCCTTAGAGAAAATATATCCCGGGAATCTCCTTCGGAGAAGAATAATTTTTCGGGTCTTCACATCTAGTTGGTTCATTTTAGAACTCCTATAATTGGAATGACAATTATATTTGTAACAGCAACTTTCTTTTTCCTCGACAGTTCAAATGGCCAAATCTGGTTACTATTTTATCGAATAGCTCAAGTTGAGCTCATGCGATGTTACATGAAATGCCTTGCAGTATTCGATCCAAGACATAGAGAGTTTATGCTTGTATTACACTGAGTCATACGTTATACATATGTCAGTGAGTAGGCAAATCTTTGTGAAAAAAAAATTGCCCCTCGGCGAACTAATCTGAAATGTCTGAAATGAATCTGCTATTCTTCCTCCATCCATTAATTGAGAATGCTGGCCAGATGGCAGATGACAATATATTTTTGTTTCGGAATTACTTCTGTATCATGTGTTGCATCATGTGGTTGCTTAAAACAAAATTAGTACGTCATCTTTGACGGTCTGCCATATTGGATTTGGAGAATTACCATTCCATTTTTCATATTATTTTCAGCAAACCCTTTCATTTGATATCCGTATCATGAAGATGCATAAGAAAAACTAGTCCGCCATCTTGGACTCGTATTCTTTTCAGCAAACCCTTTCATTTAAGCCCATATCATGGGTCTGTCTAATAAAAATTTGTCCGTCATCTTTGATTAGATTGCAGACCGACTGAATGGAATGGGAAAATGTATTTTCGGGTAATTCAGTGTTCAAATGCAAATAGTTATTTCGAAAGGACTTTTTCCTTTATTGCAATTCAATGTTCATGTGAAAGTAGTTGTTTCAAAAGGGTTTCTTCTTCCAGTTTGTATCTGAAAGAAACTTCTGTATATTTTTCTTCTTCCTCTCTTTGGAAGTTTCCCTCATTTTTGGTCAATAACGGTGAAATTGAATGCCAAAAGGCTTTTTTTCACAAAAAACAAAGGAATTTGTTATCGAACACGGACGAAGCACCGACAAAGATTACTCTTAATAGGGCATTGAGACGAGGTCAAAAAATGACCCAAAAAATATTATTTGTTATGTAAAATGCAAGGTAGATGCACAGAAGGAAGTCTAGTTCTGATAACAAGTGACAAAGATTTAAAGCAATATTTGAGAAGTAATTGAAGTATAGTAGTTCAAGTTATTATTAAACTTGATTGAGCTCATCACGCATTAGCAAGAAACCATTCAAACCTTCTAAAATCAAACAACTTTTTTCAGGTATCCATACGCTTAAAAACAGTTTGGTGTTCCTCCTCTACCTTGTAGCGAAAAACCCCGGAACACAGGAAAAGATCCTAGAAGACTCGTCAAAGGCATACTTAAGAGCTTGTATTATGGAAACTTTTCGCATATACCCCACTGCCAATTGCTTGGCAAGAATAACCGAGGAAGAGCTGGAACTTTCTGGCTACAAAGTAAAACCAGGAAGTGTTATTTTATGCCAAACAGGTATAGCGTGCAAGAATGATCGATATTTTGCGGATGCAAACCAGTTCAGGCCAGAGCGTTGGCTTACTGAAGAAAAATCTTTGACTTCTACCAATGCTACATACCTGGTGATTCCGTTTGGTGCCGGGCGAAGAATTTGTCCAGGAAAAAGGTTCATAGAACAAGTTTTACCAGTAATTTTAGAAAATACCCTTAAAAAATTCATCATAGACGTAGAAGTTACAAGGCCAATTGAGTTGCAATTCGAATTTCTCTTATCTCCAAAAGGACCTACATCTCTGATCTTCGAAGACAGGTAATGAATTACAGTCTTATATTTTGATGCAAAGTGTCATTTCTGTACAGAAAATAATTTGCGGTTAATAATGATGAATCTTAAGTGTGCAATCTACACATGAAATATACTGTTGTAAATTATTTTTTGACACAAAATAACACCAGCCGCCGCTGGTCTTAGTCAATCGACTATGACTTGGCCAAGGTCGTGTTCAACTCGACTTGCCCTTCTCGATCGTTCTAGATATCGCGTCGCTTGGAGAGACTTCCCTATCGGCTTCCATAGACTTCCACAACCATATATAAACACTACCAGATATGAAAGTCTAGTTGATTTTTTTTTCAAATTGATGACGCAATATTTTAGATTTGCTGAGTCATTTATTTCTAGTAGTTGGAGAACCGTAATAGATGTCTTTATCTCCTTCCAGACTACCGATAATACACTGTAAATCGTAAACAAATCGATTAAAGTCATGTCATATAAAAGTATGTGTTTTATCGCGTATTTCATTGATGACGCATGTGTATTCTTCCCCCAACCGTATACCTACCTTATTTTGTATCAGGAGCCCCATATCTCGCGAAAAAGCTTAATATGCCGCTGAGTTTTATTACAATGTTTTCTCAAACTGGCATTTTTGACTTTTCTATAGGTATCATTCATTACTTTGTTTATGTCTGAAAAACAGTTAAGAAATTCAAATCATTTCAGAACTAGTATTATTATGCACTACTACAGTTTTTTGCAAACTCATTTTTATTTCCGGATATTTTCTAACCATGTTACACTGTTATTCAAAGCCATTTGAGTACTCAATCTTTCAAAGTATATAAAAACTGATATAGCAAATCCTAACCTTTTGTAAAATTTTCCACTCTATTGCCTAATCAAACTTTATTCAGTGGCGCCAATAATTTCGCTAAACTTGTGTGTCTTTACTCAACTTTGTTTATTTTCTGTGTGATTTAAAGTATTTATATTCACTTCAGGCTAAGGTTCTAAATCCTTTATAGACGTTCATTTATAGTTTGGATGTCGGTGTAAAAAGTGTTCATGTTACTTTTGTACCAATTCGTTGCTGTTGAGCTTTCCTGTTCACCTAATTGAAGTTGAAGCATTTATTTGATATATTCAAGAAACACTTTATTATAATATTTTCACTACAGAAACGGTAATGTCCATTACAGGACACTATCTTTCTGTAGTTTCTATCGTTTCTTATTTTCGACATTATTAAAAAAGTTTATTTAGAAAAGATTTGAAATCACAGCCACCTACGTGACAAAACAAAAATATTCATGTTTAATGATTCTAGCCTCATAAAGAGTAGTAGTACTACTTACAGATTTGTATTACTCAATTGTTTAGCATTAATTAATTTAGTCAATTATTTCTTGTCATTGAATCATACTGATAGTTATTATGAACCTAGAGTGAAATATCAATTTTGAACCAAAAAACTAGTAAAAATTCAAACCATTTTCAACAAACATCGATATACTAGTTCGAATAATGAATTGGACTAAATTTCGCATTGAAATATTATAGTAATATGAGGGAGGCGCCTAAAGGTGTACCTATATGAGATACTAGTGCTTGTTATGAGGCTAGAACCATAAAAAAATTGATTTTTTTTTGTTTTGTTACGTAGATAGCTTGTATTCAAGTCTGAATATGATATACACAGTGATATACACTGTCCGCCATTCGCGATGGAAACCCCATTTTTACGGTAAAACATATTAGGGGGCAAAATAGGCTCAAAATTCCTTCAGATTCCTGATCAGGACTACCAACTAATACGATTACACTTTTTTCCTGAAAAAATTTCAGTCCTGAAAAATCCGAATTTGTCTCACTTCTTATGGAAACACCCCCGTATCTTCCGTAATATTCGAGGTGGAACGATGAAACTCTCAGGACTGATGGAAATGCTCAAAATGCACCTACCACCTGAATGGGGTTGGCCAAAGTGATATACACTGTCCGCCACTCGCGATGGAACACCCCATTTTTACGGTAAAACATATTAGGGGGCAAAGGAGGCTCAAAATTCGTTCAGATTCGTGATCAGGACTACCAACTTACTACGAATACACTTTTTTCCTGAAAAAATCCGAATTTGTTTCACTTCTCATGGAAACACCCCCGTATCTTCCGTAATAATGTCGATTTCCGTATAGTCGAGTTTCTCTCAAACAATTTCGTTCATGTTTAATTAATTGGCGCTCCGGGGCGACTTCATCGATTCCAGTGGCGCATTTGCTTTTCAGCTGCAGGAAAAACCGGAAAAACCTGCAGCTTGACATCATCTGAATAATGACTACATAAAGATTATAATAGTGGTCTTCTAGATTGAAGTGTTCATCTATTTCAAACTTTTGTAAGAGTTTGTTGCTTCCGTCAGAAGTTGAGTCATGTTTGAAGACCATCAGTGTCCTATTAGGTGACCTTTTTTGTATATATAAATAAATAAACTATCCTATTACCATTTCAAAACCTTGCGAACATGTAATTTTCTGTTGGAAGAATCCTGAAAGCAAATAGGGAAATATATTGAATAAAAATGCAGTTTGAGATTATATAACCCACTGTTACCGAGGTTTTTTGAAAACAATTTTATTATTTATATTTCAGGATTGGATCAGAAGAAAATTCCACTGCAAGTGAATAACTTTTGATGTCTTGTTTGGGAGGTTGCTGGTGTCAAAAAATCCAAAAATAGTAAACCCACACTATGTACAAAACAATTTGGTATCGTACCGTATTTACTATTATTTTAAGACGTAGGTTTAGTACTCTGTGTTATTACATTAATTATGAAGACATGAAGAATAGAGATGACCGGTCAGTCGAAACATAATAAATAATTTTTCTTGTCCTGAGTCTATACTATTCTTAATGATCTATGTATATTTTTCAAAATTTTCAGTGTTCGTTTGAAAAGCATGTATGTATTCCCACAAGAAATATCCAAAACATATTTTTTTTATAGTTGTATCAATTTGAAGAGTAGAAATTGTATAAATTGGAAGAGGTTGTATTTTTAGGAAAGATTTAGTTTTTGGGAATGAAAGGTTTTGGCTTCAACAAAACTGTTGTTAGATTACTCATACCAGTGTTGCCAACTTGGTGAGGAATGAAAATCTTGCTTAGAAAACTAGTTACTCCTACATTTCAAAATATTACCGAACACCCTTAGAAAATGTCAGAAAACACACTTTTTGACGTAACGGGAGATTTTTCCAACTACCAATTTTTCAGGATATGACATCAGAGTTTGATTTTTAAGTGAAACACCCTATATACTATTCCATTTTTGAAATCTATATAATATTCTGGGTCCGATGATACCTCATAGTTGATATTTGAATTATGGATTGGAACACACGGTTGCGTCAGAAGGCCTGCAAGATCACCCGACTTAACCCCTTTAGACCCCCTGTAGATCCTCTCGAGTTATCGAGGAAGCTGCTATGAAACAATAAAACAATAACGTTTCGATGAATGTTATTTTCAGTTACTGAATACATTTATAGAGATTTTATTGATAACAGAAATAAGTTTGCACTTTATTCTAACTGAAGGGCCAGAAGTACCTTGTCACCAACTATCCACTTTTATCAATTTCAACAACTTCATTCACTAGTTCACAATCACAATTGAACACTATACTTCAATTACACTTTGTAACTTTCCTCTCATTTCTCGGTCGTGTTGAACACATTCAAACCATTCTATGAACAAATTCAAAGGTTACTTGCAGCTTGATGCTATCTCAAAGAGTCACGTTCTTTTCTCAGAATCATAGCGAGCATCAATGTTATGTCAATCACGCTTCTTTGTCTCACTCAGGCCAGTAGAAGCTTGATTCGCTTACTTTTACTTGCCATGGATGTAACAATATTTACCCAAGAGCCCTAGAAATGTTGGTCCTTTTTTCAGCAAATAAACTATAAATAAACAATGAAATTATTGATATTTTCTTGGAATATTCAGCTTTTCAAATGAACACTAATTACCGAGTTTATACAACACTTTCATATTTGCCATCATTTGATAGGTTTCAACAATATGAAATAATCATAATAAAGCAGTGAGTGAAAATCTATTTAGATATACCTAGGTTCAATTTTGTGTAACTAAGAGCCCCTATCAATATCTTGGTCTTTCATTTTGTTTCACGTTAAAAATGGTATGCAAGTTGTTGTAGCCTCAAAAAACGCGTTCGTTGATAAGAAAATAAACATGTTTTTTGGGGGGCTTTTATCAACATTACTCATAGTATATAATAAAGACTATATTTTAAGATAATTGACTGAGTACAAAAAACGCGGCAATGTTGTTGTCTAGGCTGTGCTTTATCAGGATTCATTTTTCGTACAAACTTTTATATCTTATACAGAGTTTACAAAAAAGTACTCACCATTTTAAAAATGATGAATAATTGACAGAATTCTATTTGTATCTTATCTACTTGATTCATCAGAATCAATTTACAATAATACTTTTTTATGTGGTATCCACTCTTAGATAAACACACTAATAGTTTTAATATATTTGAATTATGTGTAATAAATGAATTATTTTTATTGCTTAAAATTGTATTATTGAAAACCTATGTGGTGTGAAGATAAAATTGAATAGAAAAATTGAAAAAAAGTTTTGGCATGTATGGATTTTTTTTATTTGAAATCTGTATGGAGTTTCTTTTGGCATCTATACTCATTCAAAAACTCAAGCTTGAATGGTGGTTCAATTTGAATGAATTGGTTATTTTTCACAAGGTATGGATTAAGCTGGCCAAATATTTCACACAAATTGGGAGGTAAAATCTATACTTATAAATGTGTAAGTCACTCACTCAACACTCATTCATCTCTATTCCTCTGTGCTGATAAGTCCTAGGAAGCTTAAATTTGGTATATAGGTGGTCTTAGATGCACACTAAGAAAGGATTTTCAAATATTCCAACTGGAGCGCCCCAATGGGGTAGAAGAGGGGCGTGTACATATGAAAATTCAAGTGACCTCCCTGTAAATTTAATTCAGGAGCGAGTCTCCAGACGAGATGGATGTCGAGTTTACGACTCCAACGGACCTCTCTGTAAATTTAGTTCAGGAGAGAGTCTACAGAGGAGATGCATGTCGAGTTTACGACTCTAACTGACCTCCCTGTGAATTTAGTTCAAGAGCAAGTCTACAGAGGAGATGGATGTCGAGTTTACGACTCCAACGGACCTCCCTGTAAATTTAGTTCAGAAGCGAGAGCTGCTGCGTACACAGAATCTGTCTCCGGTGGGGAAACTAACCCCCCATGAGCAGGTTAGCAAACGTTTGCGCTCAAGTGAGGTTTCACCAAAACCAGAGGCGAAAAAGCCCTGCACGGCTGAATCTAAGGCATCGTCAGGTGTAGCTGACGTTCAAAAACCCTCAAATGGTACGGTTGCCGTGAATATCAAGGTGAGAATCTTGCAACTTGACTATCCGACTACCTCATTAATAGAGCATATACTTTGTGCCTGCCCCGCTGGGGACCGAATCAGGTCTTTAGAGTTTGACAGAGCCGTACTCTCACCATCTGACCTGAAAGACCACTCACCATACAAACTAATCGGCTTCGTTTATAAGATTGCTTTATTTGATCGAGTGTAAATAGGTGTGAGCCACAATTACCTATTGCGGGTTGCGGTGGAGGATCAAATAGACCCACTTACTTTGGACCTAACCCATCATATGAAAATAACCTTTTCATCACTGTTTCTCCGTACCGCTATATTTTCGGTGGCTGAAATTCTTTATGTAGGTTCGTTTTATATTGTAAATATACAATGAGAAAGGATTTTCAAATATTCCAACTGGGGCGCCTCCCACTGGGAATAAAAGGGTAGAGTTTAAATATGAATATTACCTTGCAATAAGAGAGGATTTTTAAATATTCCAACTGGGTCGCAAGCTGCAGGGAAAGAAGGTGTGTTCATAAAATAAAGTTACCTTTTCATTACTATTTCTCCATTCCCTTAAATTTCCCATGGGTGAATTTATATTTATTACCAGCATTGAACCCGTGCGGAGCCGGGGGGATCGCTAGTAGTAAAATATTTAGGAAAATTTCCAAGCATTATCAAATCGTTTTTTATTCAATTAATAAAAATACTTATACAAAAACCCATCTCAAGATATTGGAATACAAAATTTCAAGTGAGTCATTAGTATTTGAATTTGACATTTCTGAAACGATAGTAATAGGGCTACTTCTGAATATTTATATCGACAATTTTTCACTTTTGTAATTCAATAACATGTTTTGTACACATACATAGGCTTCATATTGACTTAAAGCAGTTATCCTCGACCTATAGAGCTTAAACTTTGCATACACGTATGTGTACTGTTATAAAAATAAAGTGAATGTTCAAATTTCGCGGGCTACGTACTTTCAATTAGCTTTTCTTTGATTTTTTCATGTTGGTACACTCGTCTCGAACATATGTTCACAGTTTCAGCTGTTTAGCATGTTCTGTTTAATGATGAGAGACATAAAAGTTGAAACTGTTTTGCCTGTTCTGGATTTTCTGTTATCGAAAAAAATGGATCAGAGAATTTGCATGAAATTTTCTGTAAAAATGGAATAAAGTATTCAAAAATACTTGAAATGTTGACAGTGGAATACGTTTATTTTAGTCTGAGTCAGAAAAATGGTACAAGCTTTTCACAGAAGGTCGAGAAGATGTGAATGACGAAACTTGCACGAAGCTAGCACATTAGCAACCAATGAAAATGCTGTGAAAGTGAAAAAAATTGTTATGGAGAAACATCGAATCACTATTAGAAAAGTTGCTGAGGATGTCGGCATATCAGTTGGCTCATGCCATGTAATTTCTTTGGAAATTTTGGTCATGCGGCGGGTGGAAGCAACGTTCGTTCTGAAATTGCTGAATTTTGACCAAAAAAAAAACACATATGTGACGCTCCAGTTTTGCAAAACATATTTTTGTTCAAGAGAATAAATTAATAAAATGTGCCAAATCCACATATCACTGGGACACTTGGGTGTCATCTTCAAAATGTAGGTAAAAGATAAACAATTCAATAATGAACTTAATTTTTGTATTTTTTTGTTAACAAAGTTGCATAACAGAAAAATATCAGAAAATGTACTAACTAGCCAATTATGTAATTGGGACATACTGACTATGACTAATTCTACGTTTCAAAAGTCCTTAATAGTTCTATTATTATAATCTTATCATTATGAACCTTCAATATCCATATTTATCATTCAAACTAGTCCTACCATCACCTGATTGATCACTCGGAGGAACCCACATGCTATAGTCCTCCCTAGTTGCATCCTCTTCATAACCTCGCCGCCTCTCAATCTCGACTTTCTCATATCTTTGCTGTATCCTCCTCTGATTCTTCTTCTTCTTTCTATCATCACATGGTTCTTCAGTGTCCATTCTATCATCCTGTGATATTGTCTTATCTAATTCCTCACTGCATGTTTCACCAGAAGTTGACGGTTCTTCTTGAGGATCATCTTTGTGAGATATTTCAGAGTTCTTGGTTTCCACATTTTTCAGGTTACTGTCCGGTGAGGATTCTGGAATATCTTCATGATTTTTATCTACAGATTTTGGCAATTCCAAAACTTTTGATTCCATTTCTGAGACTGCTGGCGCCGTACTCTTCTCTATTTCTTTTTTGTATTCTTTGAAGTCCTTATCAATTGCTTCAGAAATGGTTTTGATTTCATTTCCCATTTTTTTGACTTTACCTATAACCTTATACTTTTGCTCAGTCATTGTATTTAATTCTGTCAGAATTCGGTTGAGTTCTGCTGATACCTTATGTTCTAGTCTTTCATTAGGCTCACAATGTTTTAAGTCAGATATTAGTTTCATTACCTTACGTTTTTTGGCAGCCAACATTTTCCAATCAACATGCATTCGGTCTTCACTTGCTGCCAATTTTTTAAGATTGCTGAGAATTTTTTCCAACTTATCTTGATGTTTATCTGTTGAAAAACAATTAATGTTATAATCAGATAGCATATACTGTTCGAACAGTAAGTGTAGTAAGAGATATATATATATATAGAATAAATAGCTCAGATATATATACAGGATGTTCCTAAACATCGTGCACATACGAAAGGGGGTAATTCTTTGACTTATTTCATAACTACAAATTCATATAAACATAGGTCCGCAAACGCTTCGTTACCGATTTACAGGGTGTTGAAATTACAAGATTTTTCTTGTTATTTCTTTGGAGCTCCTGCAGTTTTTGAGATATTGAGCTCAAATTTGGAATCTAGATTGCGTTATAGGGCATACATTAGTGGNAATTTAGGTTTTTGTATTGTAAAATAAATCATTTCTACAAAAAATCTTTAATTTTTTTCTCGATAACGGTCGCAGAAACGAAAAGAGTTTCTAAACAAAAAAAGTTTCCAAATAAAACGGAAAATTCATTTTGTATTTTAGAATCTACCAGCGGCGCACAGTAAAAAAGTTCAGGGGGAGAAAATGGAACATGACTCCTGAAAAAATATCATCTTGTAGAATCAACAACCATCTGACAAAACCCACTAATGTATGCCCTATAACGCAATCTAGATTCAAATTTGAGCTCAATATCTCGAAAACTGCAGGAGCTCCAAAGAAATAACAAGAAAAATCTTGTAATTTCAACACCCTGTAAATCGGTAACGAAGCGTTTGCGGACCTATGTTTATACGAATTTTTAGTTATGAAATAAGCCAAAGAAAGCAAACTACAAGAGGACTGACTGGAGAAGAAAGATTGATGCAGAAAGAAAGAAACATTTAGGTAACAAGATGTGGAATACTGTTGAGTATCTGCCAGGATTGGTCCGTTCCAAGGCATTTATAGCCCACATTATCAGAATACAATTAAAGAATATAGAAATATGTAGCAAAACTTGCTTTATTGGACCAAGACAAACAAATTCCGATTTCAAGTTCTGTAATCAATATTTTCGATAGTACTGATTCTGTTTTGAAGAAATCTGCACAATGCCGTTATGGCGTCTTTGGCAGTTAATATGTTGAATGACTCCAAAAAACGACTGTAAGAAATTACTCACCAGCAAAAGGAGGAAGTCCTTTCTTCAAAATCTTTTCAAACTTCTTGAAAGTCATGGTGCCATGTAATCCTTTTATAGACATGAAATCTGGGGACCTCATTTCGTCCTCTTCTGACAGTGCTGAAGATGAAGAAGTAGAAACAGACTCACTTACAGATTCATTTTCTTCGTACGGGTTGGGTGATCTTGAAGGGACTATTTCTTCACAAGGAACATTTTCAGGCTGTAATTCTTCCTCCTTCTCCAACTCATCTTCTTCCTCTTCTTCGTCATAAGTCGTATCAGAATTTGCAGCCAGATGTAAGTCAGGTGGTTTTTCTGGCAGTTGTACTTTCATTTTCTTTCTTTTACCTATGATAGGCAATGAATACTTGTTCACTTCCTTACTAGTGCTAGGGTTGGATATGCTCTGAGGAACCAATTCAGGTAACATTGTGGGTTTAGCTAAGTTCAGTAACTTGATTATGTTGGCATGTTCCTTCTTTTTTTTAGAAAGCTCTATTCTCAGCTTACTTGCCGCTTGTTTATCAATCTTTGACTGATTTAATTCTTTCATGAAAGTATCAAGAGAATCTTCCTCTGCAGTTGAGTTATTACCACTATTATCCATGTCCTGAGAAGTAGCCAGTTTTTTCTCGAGATCTAATATCAAAGCAGTTGTGTTTTTTTCCTTCTCCAGCTGAAAGGAAAACAGATAAATATCTTGTTAACTTTATTTTTACTTATAATATACAAGGGTGTTCAAATTTGTATATATATACCTGGGAAAATCGTCAATTTTAAGAGATAGAGAGTTCGTTGAATTATGTCAAAGTTTCCTATTTTCGAGTATTAATGAATTATATTATAAAATCTATATGAGCTGGTATGAGCTAGTATCTACCTCAAACTATAAATTAATTGATCTTTACTAGTTTAAAGCTCATATGAAGTTCCTGAGGAAAGATGCATATTACAGAAACCAAAAATAAAAGTTTTGATGAGTTCTTCGTTTCCAAAATACAAAATACCAGCTTTTGCTGATATCTTATTTTAATGAATTTACAAAAAAAACATTCAAAATATCTCAGGAATTTCATATAAGTATCAATTAAGGAAAGATCCAAATCCATTTATGGAAAGAAAAAAGTAGCAGATCATTTTCCTCAAACACTGATTTATATTTTGCCATATTTTTTAATGGGTGACACCAGAGCCCAAGAACGAAGCATTTGTGAATCAACAACAATGTTGTTTGGTCTCATGAGTGGTACTAGGCAGAAGCACGAATGTATTTTTGGACTCAACTATTATTGTAGAAGTCGCAGCATTGGTGACTCCTCTTAAAAAGACGTCATCTATAGGATCCACAGGAAACTCATACCTTGTTTGTCAAAAAGTCCCCACAGTGGTTTATCGCAAAGCCAATCTACGAAATCAATCATTTTTGAGCTCGTTTTATCTAGTTGCCTTGCTTGAAAGCTGCAGAGAAGAACAAAGAATGATTTCTCATCCGGTAGTCGATGTCAAAGTTTGGCTTTGCAATAAACCGTTGGGAACCATTGTTGTGTTTTCTTTCAATCACATGGCGTCTTCCTGAAGATGTTCATGACATGAAGGACAATTGAGTTCAACAGAGAATTCGTTGTTCAGCCTAGTATCACTGAGCTATGGTAGGTCGAAATAGATTTGCCTGGTGTTGGATACAGGAGCTTTGTTTTTGAGCCCTGGTTTCAACCATTTAAATACGATTTGGTGAAAAAAAAAATGAGGTAATGTTGTTTTTGTCCTGTATATGGATTTATCTATCCTGATTTGAGGCTTATATGAATTTCCTGAGGAAGTTTGAAAATTATTTGGATTATTTGGAATCTTTACCAAAATGAAAGATACCAGCACAAGCTGATATAGTTTGAGGTCAATACCAGCTTATTTTTCTTCGTCAACAACACATATTTTCAATTATTTAAGAAAAGAGGGTTGTACAAAAAAGTTCAAGTTATTGGAAGTTGTACGATGTGTGTAAACCCCACTGGAAATATTAGTGGTTGGCGATATCAACACATTTCAGGTACTTAGTGACGGTTTTGAAAATATGCTGTGGTATATAAAGAGAATAAGAATTGCTACCATTCAAATAAACATCAGGGCCTTAATACGAAAATAATAATTTAGTTGATGATCTTCATATTCCCGAATCTCTCAAGAGTATCGAAAAAAAAATTAAGTAACTGATGGAGCTACCTTGTAGGGAAACGCGTTTTAGATAAACTTCATTGTGAAAATTCTGTAACAATTATAATGGATTAATTATGTGTAATGCTATTGCATAATTTTATCTTTTTGGTCCTATAATGTCTTTTTTTTATCTATATATGTTATGTTAAATGTTTGGCTAGGTCTAGAGTAGCTTAGATAGGACTGTGTATGTGTAACCAGACTCTGCCTTGATGGAGAATAACTAACTAATATTTGATCCAAAAAAATCACAGAGATATTGTAAAACAAAAACTCAATATTAGTATTAGCTCAAATAAATTGGAAATTGTAAAGAAAGTAAAAAATTGAGAGGTTGCTATAGAGAGTGCCCTCTGATTTAAATTCCATGTGAACAGACTGGTCCAGAAAGCATACCTCTCACTCAAGTTAATTCACGGAAAATAAAAATGCCCCCCCAAAAAGACAAATATTACTCTCTGTGATAGTATCCTTCTCTCATCTTTGAATTACACAGATGTGCCTCACAATTAGGAACAAGAAAAGATTTCAAAAGAGTCAAAACTCTAGCCTTTACCTTATTCATGGAGTGGGTAAAAGGAATACGATTTCCTCGAAGTTGTCAGAAACTTATTGGCTCAATATGGAAAGCCGGAGGTTCTTACAATCTACGTGTATGTGCCATAAGGTCATCTGCAATGAAATGCCTGCTTATCTATACAACAAAATAACTCTTCGGACTGACGTACACAACTTGAATGTTTGGCAATAAGGATTATCAACTCCTCCAATACACACTCATGATTTTTTCAATGATCATTCACGTATCACAAATGCAACTCTAACAACAAACTTTTACTTTCAGCAAAAAAATTGAACATTGAACTTTTGAGTAAATGAACTTGACAACTCAATAACCTACAATACGAATATATATATGTTTTTGTTTTCAATTAAATTATGATAAATATCAGACATGTTTTTTCTTCATTTGGTTGTATATTTGTTATAATTTTGTTGCCAGATTCCGGAACTGGCTTTAGAGGTTAAGTGGTAGAACAAAACTGTAGTGATCTACACTGCAGGTTTAAACTTCGCCTTTTGACTGTTATTTTATATTTCATCAAATAAAGACCATTATTGTTATTTACTCAGGATAAATAAATAAATGAATGAAAAATTTAAATAGCATAAAGCTGTTTTCTGGCAATGAACTTTATAAATAATAATTTGCACAAATAGTCTAACTGAACTGATTCCACAAACAAATTCTTACCAAACTTTCATATGTTTCTACCGTTGGTGAACTCTTCGAATTCATTCTCTTCTCACTCGTTCCCTTCATAGCTAATCTGTTTATGTAGATAAGTATCTTCGTCACTATCATAATAATCATTTTCTTCCCAATTCTTTACTTTTCTCTTGCGGGATTCTGTAAGTAAACCTGATTTTGAAACAAAATGAAAAACCACAACTGTATAATAATATAAAGGCTTTCTTGAAGCCTGAGAATCTACAACAAATTGAACTTTTGGATGTTTTTATGTCTAACAATTATAGAAATTACTATGAATAGAAAAGCATTATCCGCCCTTTCAACCAGAAAAAAGCATGTGTTAACCTTGGGTTTTGACTTTCATTTTTATACAAAAAATATAGAATGAATGAAGAAAGAAAGCTTCATTATTTTTAGAAACCTTCTACAATAAAATGGAATATCTGTTATGTTTTGTTGAATAATGATCAGTTTGTCCTTAGAGAAGGGAACAGATTTAAGATTCATTCCTGAAATCAACACGTTCCCTGGAAAGATAAAACTTGTTATTCAATTACTTTACTACTGTTTTTGTATTACTATATTCAAGTATGACAAACCTTTTGAAAAATTTTTTGTTTCATGTAACATGAAGTTACAAAATCAATATCACCAAAAATAGAGAATACAATTTTTATCTTGTAATTTTAAGAAACATCAACAAAAAATTAAGATAAAATAGTTAAATGTAGAACTTTTACCAATTGAAATTTATTCAGAAATTCAAATTACAAACACATTTTTTTAATACAATATATGTGTATCTGCCGTGTAAAAGTATTTCATATACCAAACAATAGAACTGCAATACTATTCTCGACGCGCTTTCACTAACCAAGTTGGTTAAATACCAAAAACTATTGAATATTTGAGGATTATTCTGAGGATCAATGGTTTCAGTGAGGAAGTCATCTAAGTTTACATACAATTAACAAAAACCTGCATGGAACAGAATTGTTTTCCGTTTAACAACTGTTTCTACAGACAGCATAAAGACACCGCAATGGGAAACTCACTCGTTCCCTTCATAGCTAATCTGTTTATGAGCAGATTTGAATTGGAAGCAAAAGAACAGTTAGATTACTTTCCATGGACTTTGATCCGATATGTAGACAATGTATTTGAGATTTTTGACACAAAGAAATCAAAGGTGGAGAACTTTGCTTCAGCTCTCAACAACAAAACCCCAAATATTAGGTTTACATATGAAATTGAAAACAACGAGATCTCATTCTTTGATGTCTCAATGATTGGAAGTAGTTAGGATCTCGAATTTGATGTCTACACAAAGAATATCACTACTTTTAGATATATCTCTGATAGCTCACACCATTGTCCACAACACAAAGTGACATGCCTAAACTTTTCTGTCCATAGGCTTGTTACATTCCCTTTGAGTATTGAAAGGTATGCTATTGAGGAAGGAGTTATCAGGAATATAGCTGAAACCAACGGGTATTATTCAAATATAGTAGATAAGTTAATTAGGAAATGTAAATTTAGGGGGAGTATTCGTAAAACTTCAACTTTTCAAAAAGACGTAAATTCAAAGTGCATTGTCCTTCCCTATGAACCAAGGTACACTTACGGATTAGATCGTATTTTTTAAAACAGAAAGTACATTAAAATGTACCCCGTATTATGATTTTGAGTCATTTTCATGAGACTCGTTAATACTTTATTAATTATTTTGCAAATACATTGTATTTTATATTCCATATTCCAATTCTCATATATTGCTATTTAAATATTCCAAGATAAGGAATATTGGACAAAGCCATTCCCAATTTGAAATTATAATTGAAAGAAAAATATTGCAAAAAAAATGTTTGCTTACCCAGACCCCAGTCAATCCCCTTTTCTTCTTCTCTTTTCTTTCTTTCTTCAATTTCCATTTCTCGTTTGAGTGCTTCTTGTTTTAGTTTCAGTTGCATTTCTTCCTTTTTCTGTTTCAATTCCGTCACCGTTAGTTCTGATTCTTCCTCTTCGTCATATTCAGGACCACTAAGGATGTAAGACCTCGTACTGCATCCAAGCTTCAGCATATGGCCCACCTACAACAGCAATAGCCCACCATTTTGAACATATCTGATAGGCTTTTGATAGAGAGGTATAAATTGAAGTAACACATCATTGTGAGAATTTTACTGAATGGATTACAAAACTGCAACACGTGTTTCACTATCCAATAGCTTCCTCAGGCATGTTCATACTAACTAACACAGTTAGGAAACTATTGTATAATGAAACACATGGTTTAATGAACTTTTCAGTGAATGTTATTTGAATACAATATGGATTTTCATTGAGTATCGGCTAATTCCATCACAGAACGGTATTATATCAAATGCAGTGCAGAAATGATTTATACCATAAAAGGGTGAAATGACGAAAATAAAGTACTGATGATTATTTTAATGAACAGTATTGAAATGTGCGTGCATATCACAAATACATATAACTGAAGTTTTGTAATATGTAGGTTCTTCAAAGATCCTTTGTACAAAATCATTTTGAACGGATCTGTACTTAAGTGTCAATTGATAAGCTTTCAGTTTTCACATTCACAAAATAGAGTTATATCTGACAAATAACACTTTGAACCTGTCCACATGCATCATAACATCGTCATGAAGTTGAGAGTGATTATTATGCCTAAGCATTGTTATTTTTTGTAAGACCATAAGTTCAAGCCAAAAGTTCTCAATACAGTAAAAAGTATTAGGACATTGTAGTATTCAACAAAAAATGGAAACTGGTTACCTTTTGTTGGAGTTTTCATTCTCAGATAACAATCTCAATTTTACTCATTTGCGTATAATAGCAAAAATCAAAAGTTTTTTCCTGATAATTTTTTTATGGTTCACAGTAATGAAGCTCTAGTGTTCCAGTTACTTTTCTAAATAAATTTTCTCAAACATGAACATAAAAAATATAATTTCAATGCATTACTAAGCTCCTGTATGAATGAACTCCATGTATATGTGACAGTTTGATTTTTTTGACCACCTGGCCGGTTTCCAATGGTTTATTGATCAAACTTGACGCATGTCAATCATTACTCAAACCAAGTAAAAAACTATTTTGCTTCATTTTTTGCATCCATTTCCTCCAAATTTACATTAAAATGGAGTCATTCAAAGACAAAGAAGTGAAAGAGAAGATCAATGAAGCCCTACAATCTTCAGAACTATCCGAAAGCTTACACCAATCATCTTCAATCAATGAAAATCAGTGCAGGAAGTCCCTCGACCAAATTAGGGATATTTTTCAAAAAACTGAGGTCATGAAAGACGTGGCAAAACAAAAAAATCAACTGTTGGAAGAACAATTCAAGGATCTAAAACAAAGATTGAGTTCCAGTTCAGAATATCTACTCAGAATAAAGAAAAACATTGAAAATTTGAAGTTTTCGTATCAAAAAAATGTGCTAGAAATAAACAATAAATTAGATCCAGGTAGTCAACTAGAATTAGGTTCTATTGGAACGAAAGAAGAGATGACCAGACACATGGAAGAAATTAAGAGAAAAATTGATGATCTACAAAACAAGATGGCTGTTCAACAAGAAAAACAACAAAATGTGACTGAGAATTATCAAGAAGCTTTCGACAAAGTAGTGGATACCCTTCAGCACATTGAAACAGGGGCTTACAGTTCCCAATCAGTTGAAGATAGAGAATAAATTTCTCACCTGCATTCTAACGTATACCTTCGGTTTGAGTCTATTTTTATTGAGAAAAGTACCATGAGTGCTTCCCAAATCATAGAGGTAGAATCCTGAACTTTCTGTTTCTGATGGATCCTTTCTGTACTGAAGAACTGCATGATACCTGCAAAAAAGTATTATTTACTTTATTTTTAAATTGATTTTATAGTTCTCAAATATACCGATGTATGAAATTTATCATTATTTTTGTTCATACAAGTAACAATATCAATATTTGAACAGTATCAACTGTGATAGAGAAGTATATATAGTGTCATCCCCAAAGTATGCACCATATGGGAAACTTATTTATTAAGGGTTTTTCGACAAAAAGTTATTCTTGATAAAAGTTTGAGCATCCCCTAAAACTAAACATGCACCAACAAAATACAGTAAAACACATAATATACGAGGAGCCTTCAAATCTGTAGGTGACTTATTCGAATAATTTCAGCATAGTCCTGCTGCTGTATAAACAATAAACATCTGCGAGACTAACCTCTGTGAGGTATGTTGCATACATGGATGTAATTCAATATCCAGCGTGGTATTAGCCGGGGAAGTAGTTGTTTTCCAGCAGGCATTTACCAGAACCAACGGTGTAGGTAGTAGGGAGAAATGAATATTTCGAGATTTTATTTCGAAATATTTATTTTCTAGTAAGTCTGAAATTATCAGGATAATAGGATCAGACTATATATTTTATACTTTTTTGAAGTTTATAATATATTTCATAGCGAAATTTTACAACACTCACTCACCTGGAAATTGTTGGATGTTGCATACAAATATTGCAGCTTGTAATTCTACCGAAAACCCAAAATGACTGTGACATTAAATTGATTGTTTCTATTATTGTACCATTCTTTAGAACTTCAAATTTATATTGCTTACTGTTGCTATCTGGAATGCCTGACCAAACAGGCTCTTTGTAGGGTAACACAATAGAGTTTTCAGAATGCTGTGAGGGTGGAGTATCCACTGTCGCTGAAAGTTCATCTAGAATTTATAATAAACTCAATAGAAGGTGGAAATAATGGCAGACTTATGACTTTTTAGTATTCACATGTGGAGGCAGTTGATATAAAGCAGTCATACATGTACTTTGATTGAGTACACACACAAAAAAGGAAAAATAATTTCAATTTTGCAAAAAAAAAAAACAAAAAAATTATAGTTGTTTTTGAATTTCTTACATTGAATTATGTAATATGCCATGTTTAACCTATCAAACTTTTCCAATTTGATATATACCTGTACCTACAGTTTGTGTATTTACGCAAAAGTTTGTTTTCTCGAAAGAACGTCTAAGATGACATCTAGAATAATTACTCCTAATGAGAACAGAGCACAAAAAATAAAGCAGCGCTGTTCCAAACTGCCACGGGTCTCATCAGCGATGCTAGCTGAATCATGAATGCATTGTCAGACACAATTGTCACGAAAGGACAAGCCTGAGTATAAGTTACGAAGACGCCAACTATAGGCTTGAAATGAGACTCAATCCACTAATATCAAAAATGAACGAGGCTCTCCAAGGCGGTTTGTTGAAAAGCCAAGCTTCAACATCGACCACTGAAAGACATTCGTTCTCTGTTTTTCTCTGCAGCTTTCACTTTAAGGTAACTAGATAAAACCAGAGCCCAAAAACAAAGCAGTTGTAAGGTGGGATATCCACACTGAGTTATACTCAGGTTTGTCCTTTAAGGTCAGCTGAATCCAGCCTAGCACCACTGATAAGACTTGCAGCACTTTCCTATAAATCCATACAATATTTTTGACAATCACTGCATTTGTGAATTATATGAAACTATATCTAGATATAACANTTTTTTCCCTGTTTCTGTTTCATTGGGTCTTTCCTCTAATATTTCACTATTACAAGAGATTTGAATAGGTAATATTTTTTTTGCTAACTTTCCAATTTTCCCAATTATTACTGGTTTTTTAAAGGTAGAGTCTTCCTTTTTTTCATTTTTGTTTTTTTCGGGATTAATTGATTTATCTTTTTCAATAGAATTTTCCATGATTCCTTGGAAAATAATTTTATTTTTCAAGTTTGGCTTATGAAAAATATAATGAAATTGACGTTGAATTCTAACTTAACCTCAAACTAATAGAAAAAAAAAACAACTCTTCTTAGTTCTTTTATGACTTCTTCTTCTTTTAATTTTGGTCCTACTTCCTTGACGCTATTATGACTGTTCTTTTTATTATAGTCGTACTCGAAGCAATGCTGCCAACTGGCAGCATTGATAAAGTCCAGTCTCCACGAGAACATCCGGTCCCCGGCTTCCAACCGACGTGAATGGAAATAGGAGTTATGTAGTTCCATTGTAACACTCCCACATGGACATCCGGTCCACCCGGCCTCCAACCGGCATGAATGAGAGTGCTGTTCTCTTATAAAAGTTTTCACAAAGAATGTTTATTTTATTGATATTGAATGTTGATTTTATTGTGGACGGACGTTGTCGGTACGTCCGTCCACCACCATATCAGAAACGAAACGCATTTGCTGAGTTATTCTTTTTACATGGTGATTTATATTCTCACGTACAAAGTATGATAAGCTGTTTTTTCCGGGTCTCGTTCCGTATTCTGTGTTTTTGAAAATAACAAATGAGACTTTGCCAAAACGTTGTGGAAATAATTCTTGTGAGGATCAAAAACACAGCTAGAACACGGGGTGAAACCCGAAAAAAAAGCTCATCACTACTATATATGTATACATACTAATGTAAATACTATTTGGAAGTAAGTAGATTGGGACCTTTGCAGAGACCAGCGACGAAACTTGGTGAGTAGGCAGATTGAGGCCCCGGCGTCAAGTCACAAAACCTTTGCAGTGTGTCACTGCCTGAGGAGTTTGCAGATTTAGACCTCCATGTAGTGATAGCTTCTTGAAAATGACTTCAAAGTCGAAGCCGAAACGTAGTGTATTTTTCTGTCTTTCATTTATTCATATTCTATTCTCGATCTACCATCCCATTCCGACTCTGAGTCCTAGATAAGTGATATCTAGTTCAAGAAATGAAAATTAAAAAGATGTAGAGTCAGGATTTTCCACGAAGGAAGGAAAAAGTAATAACCTTTTTTTGTATATTAACGACCTTTTAGGAAAACTACAAATCCAACTACTCATCCAGATGAGAGCGCACTTGTTTCATTTTTTCTTGTAAATGTCCAAACTTCAGCTGCAATGCCATGCCAATCAGAGTGACAATAATCAAACATACTTCATTCATGTAATAAAAAAACTAAATGTTTTGGTGATTGTAACAAAAGCAAAGGCAACCTTTCAGATTCAAATTGCAGTTTCTCGGTATATGAGTATGTCAAAAGTACCTAGCAAACCACATCTGTGCTGTAGTGCACACTTCATGGATCAGCTCAGTGGATAGTGAATAGTAATAATAATGAAAATAATGAATTTTACTATTCCTAACTATTCCTAACTATTGTGAATATGTTAGATTCACAGAAGCACTCAGGCGGTAGCGAATGGAAATTTTCAATCGAAAA